TCTTATCGACTCTGCTAACGCAGCCCCGCATTTTATGTCTAGACACGAGTGACATCAGAAGACAGGTGGATCAGCTGTTCTTTTTCGTGATGATTAAGTATGCACGATCTTGTTATATTCTGAGAAGGAATTTTCCATCTAAAGGTTGCCTTTACAAGGCACCTTATTTTCAGAGAAATAATCATTAAAGTGATAACGTAACCACCGGATATACTAATATAACTATTATGAATTAATCGAGTAACAGAAAGTGTATTGATCGGCACTCATAGAAAGAAGAAGAAAGATAGAAGAACACACTAGACAACATAAAAACCGAAAGCTATAGTTACCGTGCCGGGAATTGAACCTGTCACCTCCAGACGGCGTCTGCGCCTCGCCATGAATACAAGTGCACTAAGATACATGGTCAACTAGGCACTCGTGTATATTAACTTCTGCATCATAGTTGTGACAGTGCTTTTCTGTTGGTATTTTGGCTGTATCCCTGTTTTTATTAGGATACTCAATGTACACTCCTGCACCTCCGTTTCTGACTGCACTTTCTGCTGACCCATCTGTGTAAATACGGACCCAAAGATTCTGCGGGTATTCATCATCAAGTAGACTGAGGGTGGCTGTTTTTTGTCGGCCCATTCAGCCATTGCATCTATGGCTCTTTGTAGCAGTCTGGTGGCCACTGTTGCATGTTCATTTGTACACCATAGTACCAAGTCATCAGCATACATTGCAGCTTTAATTCCATGGGGTAGTTCAGAAATAAGGTCATTGATATAGACTAGAATGAGTGTGGGGGACAGGACACCTCCTTGTGGGACGCCATGGCGCAGCAAAACTTTCTTACTCTTAAGCCTATCTATCTGTACTCGGGATCTTCTGTTATACAAGTATGCTTTCACCTATTTGTACATACTCCCATTCACCCTGCAGTCTCTCAGTTTCTTCAGTAGCCCTTCTTTCCAGACCTTGTCAAAGGCTTTCTTCAGATCTATCCATGCCGTTAGCACTAGCTTCTTTCCCTGGAAGGCATCCTCAATTTCTTGTGAAAGGTAAGTTGTCTGGTCTTCTGTGGAGTAGCACTGTCTAAATCCTGCCTACTGCGGCATGAAGATGTTTTCACTGTCCAACTACCATTGGAGTCTAAGGTTGACAATACGTTACATTGTTTTACACGGGCAGCTTGTAAGACTGATCGGTCTATAGCTGGAGGCATCGGATTTGTCCTTTCCTGGTTCAAGGAAAGGTATCGTAATTGCTTCTCTACATATCTGGGGAACTTTGCCACTGGTCCAACAATGATTAAAGATCTGTAGCAGCTTTATTTTGGCGGTTGTTCCAAGGTTCTTAATCATTTCGTTGGAGATTCTATCAATTCCACGTGATTTTCCCATTCTCAGCTAACTATTGCTAACTCTAACTAGCTAGATGTAAGTGCTGCAGGAATTATATCATTTTGTCTTGTATGCAGCTGGTTCTCTCGAACCTCTAGCTGTTTTTCTAGGGTGACATTAATGTTGCTGTCTTTGGCACAAGAATCTGCAAAGTGGTCAGATGCCTGTTTTCTTGTTAGGATGGCTATCTTTTTGTATAGAGCAATATTTAAGTTTCTCACTGTACTCTCATCATTAATTTGTTTTACTAACCTCCACAATTTTCTTGTGTCTCTTTCAAAGTTTTAGAGACTTTGTCTTTTCCTGCCAGCTTGTCCGTCTAGCCTGCAGTTTGGCTCTTTGAAATTTGGTCTTTGCATGTTGGTGGTAGTTGAACTGCTCTTGACAAGGTCTGGTCTCAGCTTTCTTTCGAACTGTATTAAAGGGTCGCCGCTTTAGAAAGGTTGAGAGCCAATGATTTATAGGAAGGAATTTAAATTACAGCCCATGGCGATGACAAATGTGACTGTGGACCCGCCTGTATATATATATATATATATATATATATATATATATATGTATATATATGATGGCTATATATATGATGGCTTTCACAATTAAAACTCAGTTAAATTCAGAGAGTGTTTCAAATCCAGGAGGCTGCAGCTCAGATGTAACATTCGTTCGAGGTAATGAGCTCTGTCAATAGCACTATGAAGACTTATGTTCGTTTTTGTAAGGCTGTTATTAATGCCATCACTCAATATTTTCCGAGGTATTCCACTCGCTCTATACCCGTTGTAACGTTTTAGTGTGGCTCGCTGTGGCAGATAGTAACAGGGCATTCTTGTTAGGTGTCCAAACCACAGAGTTAACACTCTGTGGTCAATGGAGGAACGTCGCTGTAGCTACGGAATTGCGTGCAGACGGCGACACAGGCGGAGTTTTTTATCAGCTATTTGTATATGTGGCAGAGCACTTATGGTTTATAACCGTGTGCAATGACGCTGGTTCCCATCTCCCGACTTTACCTTTACCTTATCTGTGATTGGCTTTCTCTTTACAGTTGGTGACTAAAAAGTATTTATAGGTCTGCCTGTATACTACCCCTCCACCATATTCCTGGTCAGGCTTTTGGTCTATTTCCATTAAACTTTTTGTCTACAGTTTTTCCTCTCTGTTGTCTTTATATGCCCAACAAATGAAGTATGCTAGCCCTCATGATGCCGATAATCAGTGGTGATTTAAACAATACAGATTTCTTTGTTGCACCATTATCCTCTGCAACTTTGACGGGTCCAAACATTTCACTGTAAGACAGTTATCAAAATTCTATAATAACGCTTCGTCTCTTTCAGTGATGCTCTAGTAGGTTCAGTCCCAGCTAAATATATATTATAACCTTCGTTTTACGACATTTAAATATATGTTTCGTGAATCTAAAGGTCGTGGGGGTCAGGTCCTGATGGAGCCATACTTTTTTCATAAACGACACTGACTCCCAGGTTGACACAGACATAAATAGCTACCAAGTAAAGCCATAGGAAGAAAAGGAAGCCAAGGTGATTCTGATCACTCACTTCCTGAGTGCTAAAAGGTCTAGTCCTATATGCCTACATCAGGGAAGATTGGCTAATAAACAGCCTCATGTCTCGGAAGCTGAAATATTTTGGCCATATCAATCACCACGATGGATTGGACAAAAATTACAGCAGAAGGCATGGTACAAGGAAGGAGGGGCAGGGGCCAACCAACACGAAGATGGGCACAGGATGTAAGTGACTCATTGAGTATGAAAGTACATGAGGCGGGAGAGTTGGCGAGAAACCGAGTTTCTTTCAGGCAGACCGTGATGACAGCGACGTTCTGCAAAGGACCTGCTGCATGATGATGACCTATATTCCTAGTGAGCTATAATTTGATGGATATAACTGAAACAGAAAGTCAAAACAAAGGTCTCAGTCTGAACAGCAGAAAGGCAAGTCTTTACTTAATTATATCATCCTCACTGTATCAACAGTTTCAAGTTTAGAATACCCTCAGTAAATTTTGCGTGTAGCAGCTGACAATACAAGTTCGGTGTGCTTTTTATAACAAAAATGATTCTGTGGCCTCCTGCATAGTGCTTTTGTCTGACACAGTGGTGAGTGAAGCTGCATCCCGCTAGGACCATACACTGAGCGAATAACACCCAGTGATGCAAAGTGCAAAAAAAATTCACTTTTCAGATGAGAATCCCCAAAGTACAAATCCCAGAAACCCTTTTGATGTTTTTTGCTTGCGCTCACCGTCTGTAAACCCCGGCGGAAAGATCTGGTGTTCGTTCATTTCTGAACATTGGCTTTGTTTCAGGACCTATGTTTTGCATGTGCATCCATTTACAGATCTTGCTTATTTGTGTGCAGACTGTTGGCTCCTTGCCTCACAGGCAGATGCACTCCAACTTTGAAGGAAGCCCTCAGTTAGTCGACTCCTACGATATGCTTGTTGGGGAGGCAGTGGGTCTATTCTTGTTTTCTCAAAATGAGACCCCGAAACCCACACGAGAAAAAAAAAACCTTTTTTAACCGTAGGGCTAAATTCCCCCCCCCCCTTTCCATGATGGTCAGGAAAGCGTAGGTCATTACTCATATTTACTTATGGCTCACCCCTTTTCACTTGTTATCCTTGTAAAAAGGACAAGAAATGGTAATCAAAAATATGTCCACCAACATATAATGTTAAAGAAAATGGGCCTAGAAAGGAGCAAATCAATGTGTCAGATTCTTGGGTATCCTGATAACAGCAGATGGAAGATGTATTAGAAAAGTTACAATACTTTTACAGCCCATTAATTTTTCAGTTATTAATACTATGTGGCCTATGAATGATGTTGTTCTTACAGTCCATGCCATATGGCGTTGGTAGCAATGTCTATTCACAAAACAACAATTTGTCTTGTGAAATTGCAATCAGTTTTGACACAGGTGATTTTCCATGCTATGATGTCATGTTGTCCAGCATCTTCTGTCTCTGTCTCCCGATGCCTCTTTTCCCCTCCAACTTTCAAACCATCAGAATGTACATAAGTTTTCTCCTGCTCATGACATGAGTCAGTTTCTTTCAAGACATTAATGCTTTTAAAAAAATATGTCCAGAGTATTTTCATCACACACCTATAGACATAGCAGCTTCCCAATAATTTGAGGGAAAAAAGAGAATGTTATAAAAATCTTAACAGCCCTTGGAAGAAAAAGGGTTGCCCCATCTGGTACAAACAGATATAGCTCATCAATCACAAAAGGTATGTTAAGGGAAAAGAAAGAGTTCAACAATTCATCTTGCATGCAATATAAGCACAGTAAAGGACCCGTTTATTTCAGTGCCGCACTGGGCATATGATGTTGGACTTAAATCAGTACTTGGTAGGTGATGTGGTTAACATCATACCTGCTGTATTTACTTCCCAGGGAATTTTATAATACCCATTTCAGATTGGGCCTTGCTGTCGACTTGAACCAAAGACCTTTGTGTCAATAGGTGAGCATCCGCAAGTGATAAATATGCAAATCTGTACATAATCTTCCATTTAAAAAACTCTCATGACAATATTAAAGTACACAAGAATGCAAAGCTCTGAGTATTAAAACTTTATATTTTTGTGGGTGAAAGGTCACTTTCTGACTTCTTGTCTTCAATTTTTTTCAGCATCCCATCTTGTAGTTTCTTCGGCATAGTAAAAGATGCAAATGGAGATGCTTGTTTCATCTGTTCTGCTACAAGCTTGGCCATTTTCTTATTCTTTTCATACATCTCATTGGGTATAAACAAGTTAAGGACTTTGATGTAGCGTAGAACATTCTCCACATCCTTCTCCTCCAAACCATGCTCTCTAGCAATCCTAGAAGCTGTGAACTCGTTAGGGCTAGATCTGTGCTGTTCCAAAAAGCTCAGAACAGTCTTCAAACTGGCACGCCCTTCAACATGTGTCTGTGCTTCCATAGCACCCATGTCTGTCTCTGCTGGTGTTGTCCGATTTAATGGAAGTGCTTTCGTTGATGTTAGTTGCTAGAGTTGAAAAAAAAAAAAAAAAAGGAATAGAAAAATTATTCTAAATGGTTACAATACATATTACGAGCATAGACTAGGGAAACAAATTAAGGAAAATAAGAAAAATAGGAAATGACACAAATTTAAGGGATGAAGGAAAAGAATGCGAGCCGTATGTGACATACAACGGCATAACCGGAAAGTGATAATGAATTATATTTTTCTGATCTTCTTCTTTTCTCTCCTCTTGGAATGCCTCACATTGTAAGAGCAGGAAGATATCTCTGGAGCGGGCCTTTCTAAAGGTTTTTCATCCCTTTGAAATCTCCTGTAAAACCTTCCGAAAGAGTAAACTACCAATTAGATGGAAATGACTCAACATCTGGTTTTCATTTAGTATGCCCTAGTGTAGAGGGCAGCTGTACAGCTAGCAGACATACTTGATTGGTACACTGGTTACATGTTTAAATCTATAACTAAAAAAAAAAAAACACAAACAATAATTGTAAATAAACTAATAATACCAATATACTAACTAGCCTTATGAAGTTAGCTATATTTCCCTTACAGGATGTTGCAGAACCTACCCCAGCATATTTCGGCTGTGTGTGATTTCACCAGGGAATTTTACATTCAGTAGTTTACCACTGCTTCCTGAAAGGCTGGCTCTCAATACCATTGTTGAAACCACAGTAAGGCGGTCTGCTGCTAAATCGTCAGCAGCTGTGATAGAATTTAGCATCCTGGAATTATGAAGTGCATTCACAACACCTAAGCCACAGACACTGAGTTAAACTTGTACTACTATGCTTGTACTTCTTCTTTTTTTGCTGGCTCACCGATACCAGGTTGTAACCCAGTGTTGTGGTTTTCTGTATTTGTCTTGCGCTTCTCGGGTGGCTTTAGTGATGGATTTGATCATCTTTTTGCAGGTTTCAGCTACATCATTCATCCATCTCCTTTTTGGTCTTCCCCTCACCTTCCTCCCAGATGTTCTATTGTAAAACGTTCTGGTCTGGCTGCATTCTCACTAGATGGCCGAACCACTTCATTCTTTGCCTTTTAATATAATCCAGATGTTGGTCTTATTTCAACTTTCTCTCTAATGCTGGTATTCGTAACCCTGCCTTATCTAATGTTGTTAGTAACCTTGCGGAGACAGCACATTTCACATGTGGTTATTTACTGTTCTAGCCCTAATTAATTGTCCATGTATTGATAACATAAAGTAGGGATAAAGATGCTATTAATTATTTGCTGTTTTGCGAGAAGAGAGACATTTTGGTGTCTAAGCAGTGGAGCTAACTGGTAGGTGACAGCATTTTCCTTCTGTACTCAGGCTTCTATCTCTCTGTCGAGTCTGCCATCCTCTGTAAATATGCTTCCTATATATATCTGAATCCTCGTACTTGTTTGACTGTAGTACTGTTAACACAAACATTCATGATATTATGTCTCCTGCCTATCCTCACTACCTCAGTTTTTGCGATGTTCATTCTTATATCATACTTTGTGCAGGTTTAATGTAATAAGTCAAAATGGTGTTGTAGATTCTGTTCTTGGTGGTGTATTAGACATTGATCACCTGCAAAAAGAAGTTTGTTGATTTCTTCAGTGTCTGTATTTGCCTCCTGTGTTATTCTAACCATGTGCTTACAGAATAGCAATGGTGAGAGAACACATCCCTGTCTGATACCTGATGAGATGGGAAACCAGTCTGTCACTCCTTCTGTTGTTCTTACTGTGCAATGACTATCTTGGTAAAGAGCCATGATGTTACCCAACAGCTGATCATGAATACCATAATCTTCTAGAATTTTCTATAGTTTGCGTCTGTTGACCTAATCGAGCGCCTTCTCTTGATCTTCAAATGTAAGGTGTTGACTTCAATTATATACATTAGACTGCTTGCATATCTGCATTTCACTATATTATTTATAATATAATAATAATCTTCTTCTCCCTCACTGGCTGTAAACTCAGGTGAAAAGTTCTGGTTGTCTGTCCACTTTTGGACTTTAGTCTTGTTCCAGAATAGAGTGTTAAATTCAATTTTATTTTACACACCTGACTTCTATTTGTATACAGACTGTTGGTTTCTTGCCTCTCAGGCAGATGTACTCCGACTTCAAAGGAAGCGGAAAATGAGTAGACTTTTACAACATGCTTGTTGGGGGGCAGTGGGTCTATTCTTGTTTTCCCCACAAAGGGGCCCCTGAACCCACACAGGGAAAGATACTAATAACAAATGTATATTCTTGTTAAAATATACACTAATAATAATTGTTAACAATTCTGTACTGTCTCCACAACGAAGTCTGGCTTCAGTGACCATTGCTTTAGGAACATTATGGTGAGGCCCCAATCCTTTCCCTGGGGTGATGCTTGAGCTACTGTTCTCGTGGTTTTGTTAACTGTCCACCAAAGGAATTGAACCTTAGTATTTAAGGATCATGAAATTGTTAAACTCCTTCAATAACCTTCAAGCCACACAAAACTGACATTAAGACTGTGATCCAATATGTGCCCTGCTATAAAAAAAAAATTTCAAAGTCTAACTGTCTGGTCAATGACACAGGTGACAACTCAACATAAAGTGATCATCTAACTGACCAGAAAACTATAAACCATAAAACTGAGTACCTGTACAGTTTGTGATGATTCTACATGAATATTCTTCAAATGTTCATGCAATTTTTCATCTCTGTGCTTCTGAGCCTCAAGGAATTCAGGATGCTCTGGAAAAACAAAAGACTAACTTGAGACAGTCATCAATCATTAACTAAGACTGACTTGAGAAAGTCATGAACTCACCTCACCCCCCACAACAAATTCTTTAAAGAAAAAAAAACAGAGTCTAACAGCATTAACACCATGTTTTCTATATGATTTTCATCTGTTGGCACCTATCCGCCTTACCACCGGATAATGTTATACTGTACTATGAGGAGGCATGGGAATCACACCATGGCATTGGTGAGTGTGACTAGCAAGACCCGCTCACATGGGAAAAAAAAGGTCTTTCACAATAAGTGCAAATCTGAGGATGCCTGTTGTCAATGCATGGATGTAATTTGCTACTTCTCAAACAATCCGCTCTGAACCTGTATGTGATAATGTTCTCATTTGTCCATAATTAATCTTTCCTCTTGGAACTATGATGACACATAGGGCAGAGGGGATAGCTCTCCTTGTCTCGCGGTTCATTGCCACCTGCTTTAAGTTCAGATGTTTTTTAGGCCCATAGTTGAGCCTTCCCTGATGATGGTCTACAGTCTCTCTTGGTCTTCTCAATTTAGTTTTCCTTTTCAGCATCCATATGAGGGCTTGATTGGAAAATCTTGTCTTATCCAGTCTGCATGTACCTATTACCTTCCTGATTTTTCTCCTTGATGAAACATTGCCCATAGCATTCTATCTTCACAGTAAGATGACCTTATGTTCTGTTCTGAACAACAGAATAATATTTCTCTGTTCACAAATACAAATTTGATGCATAAGGTTAATTCATCAGAGAAATACTTGTGCTACAATTATGGCACAATAAGTTTCCTTCAAATCTACATATATTCTGCCATGGGTTCTCTCACAGAAAAATAATGGAACGCTGAATAAAAGTTTATTATGTTATCTCTTTATGAATACATAAAATAACATAACCCTTGTCCAATTTTTGCTTTTTTGTCTCATGGAATTAAGGCCAGTCTCTTCATCATCACCATTAAGATAAATTACCATCATCCCACTGAACGGCAGTAAAGTCTATCATCATCATCAGGTGCCTTGCCAACTGGCATGGGCGATCATGCCTCTCCTTAATCCACAATCTCCTGCAGCAAGTATCAGTTTGTGTGCTGACACACAACCATGCCATGCAACAAGACTGTCAAGAATCTTCTCTCGTTGTCTTCCTCTATCCCTCCTTCCACAGATCTTTCCAGTGGTCACAACACATTTCATTTTCCCTATTCTCATAACATGGCCCCGAGAAATTATGACTGACTGTGATAAGTTGTCTTCGGGCTAAGAAAGTCTATATCTGGGTCATTCACTAAGTTGTTGAAAAATAAGGCATGAGGCCCCGAGCCCCAACACTGAAAGATAATTAATAGAATGCAATTGTCAGGGGCTTTGCGGGGCCACTTGCTAGGCATCTGGTGGCTAGATTTGGCCACCAGTTGAATAGCCTTGGTCTATATGATTCTTTTTGTACTGCTTCTTCACTACCTTAAACAAAACTGTAACGGTTGGTTGCTGTGCAAAGACGCAAAGATAGATGTCTTGTGGAATATTACACAGTAAAGCTCTAAGCATTTCATGGCGCAATTCTCATAAACACTGTTCACACGTCATGGGAACAGTTTACCAAACACACATACCCACACAAGCGTGCACGCAAAAACACTGTTCACACGTCATGGGAACAGTTTACCAAACACACATACCCACACATGCGTGCACGCATAAACACTGTTCACACATCATGGGAACAGTTTACCAAACACTCATACCCACACATGCGTGCACGCATAAACACTGTTCACACATCATGGGAACAGTTTACCAAACACACATACCCACACACGCCTGCACGCATAAACACTGTTCACACGTCATGGGAACAGTTTACCAAACACACATACCCACACATGCGTGCACGCATAAACACTGTTCACACATCATGGGAACAGTTTACCAAACACACATACCCACACATGCGTGCACGCATAAACACTGTTCACACATCATGGGAACAGTTTACCAAACACACATACCCACACACGCCTGCACGCATAAACACTGTTCACACATCATGGGAACAGTTTACCAAACACACATACCCACACACGCCTGCACGCATAAACACTGTTCACACATCATGGGAACAGTTTACCAAACACACATATGCACACACGCGTGCACGCATAAACACTGTTCACACGTCATGGGAACAGTTTAGCAAACACACATACCCACACACGCGTGCACACATAAACACTGTTCACACATCATGGGAACAGTTTACCAAACACACATACCCACACACGCCTGCACGCATAAACACTGTTCACACGTCATGGGAACAGTTTACCAAACACACATACCCACACACGCCTGCACGCATAAACATTGTTCACACGTCATGGGAACAGTTTACCAAACACACATACCCACACACGCCTGCACGCATAAACACTGTTCATACGTCATGGGAACAGTTTACCAAACACACATACCCACACACCCGTGCACGCATAAACACTGTTCACACGTCATGGGAACAGTTTACCAAACACACATACCCACACATGCATGCACGCATAAACACTGTTCACACGTCATGGGAACATATTACCAAACACACATACCCACACACGCCTGCACGCATAAACACTGTTCACACATCATAGGAACAGTTTACCAAACACACATACCCACACACGCGTGCACGCATAAACACTGTTCACACATCATGAGAACAGTTTACCAAACACACATACCCATACACGCCTGCATGCATAAACACTGTTCACACGTCATGGGAACAGTTTACCAAACACACATACCCACACACGCGTGCACGCAAAAACACTGTTCACACGTCATGGGAACAGTTTAGCAAACACACATACCCACACATGCGTGCACGCATAAACACTGTTCACACGTCATGGGAACAGTTTACCAAACACACATACCCACACATGCATGCACGCATAAACACTGTTCACACATCATGGGAACAGTTTACCAAACACACATACCCACACATGCGTGCACGCATAAACACTGTTCACACATCATGGGAACAGTTTACCAAACTCACATACCCACACACGCCTGCACGCATAAACACTGTTCACACGTCATGGGAACAGTTTACCAAACACACATACCCACACATGCGTGCACGCATAAACACTGTTCACACATCATGGAAACAGTTTACCAAACACACATACCCACACATGCGTGCACGCATAAACACTGTTCACACATCATGGGAACAGTTTACCAAACACACATACCCACACACGCCTGCACACATAAACACTGTTCACACATCATGGGAACAGTTTACCAAACACACATACCCACACACGCGTGCACGCATAAACACTGTTCACACATCATGGGAACAGTTTACCAAACACACATACCCACACACGCCTGCACGCATAAACACTGTTCACACATCATGGGAACAGTTTACCAAACACACATATGCACACACGCGTGCACGCATAAACACTGTTCACACGTCATGGGAACAGTTTAGCAAACACACATACCCACACACGCGTGCACACATAAACACTGTTCACACATCATGGGAACAGTTTACCAAACACACATACCCACACACGCCTGCACGCATAAACACTGTTCACACGTCATGGGAACAGTTTACCAAACACACATACCCACACACGCCTGCACGCATAAACATTGTTCACACGTCATGGGAACAGTTTACCAAACACACATACCCACACACGCCTGCACGCATAAACACTGTTCACACGTCATGGGAACAGTTTACCAAACACACATACCCACACACCCGTGCACGCATAAACACTGTTCACACGTCATGGGAACAGTTTACCAAACACACATACCCACACATGCATGCACGCATAAACACTGTTCACACGTCATGGGAACAGTTTACCAAACACACATACCCACACACGCCTGCACGCATAAACACTGTTCACACATCATGGGAACAGTTTACCAAACACACATACCCACACACGCGAGCACGCATAAACACTGTTCACACATCATGGGAACAGTTTACCAAACACACATACCCATACACGCCTGCACGCATAAACACTGTTCACACATCATGGGAACAGTTTACCAAACACACATATGCACACACGCGTGCACGCATAAACACTGTTCACACATCATGGGAACAGTTTACCAAACACACATACCCACACACGCCTGCACGCATAAACACTGTTCACACGTCATGGGAACAGTACCAAACACACATACCCACACACGCCTGCACGCATAAACACTGTTCACACGTCATGGGAACAGTTTACCAAACACACATACCCACACACGCCTGCACGCATAAACACTGTTCACACGTCTTGGGAACAGTTTACCAAACACACATACCCACACACGCGTGCACGCATAAACACTGTTCAGACGTCATGGGAACAGTTTACCAAACACACATACCCACACATGCGTGCACGCATAAACACTGTTCACACGTCATGGGAACAGTTTACCAAACACACATTCCCACACATGCGTGCACGCATAAACACTGTTCACACATCATGGGAACAGTTTACCAAACACACATACCCACACACGCGTGCAGGCATAAACACTGTTCACACGTCATGGGAACAGTTTACCAAACACACATACCCACACACGCGTGCACGCATAAACACTGTTCACACATCATGGGAACAGTTTACCAAACACACATACCCACACAGGCATGCACGCATAAACACTGTTCACACATCATGGGAACAGTTTACCAAACACACATACCCACACATGCGTGCACGCATAAACACTGTTCACACGTCATAGGAACAGTTTACCAAACACACATACCTACACATGCGTGCACGCATAAACACTGTTCACACGTCATAGGAACAGTTTACCAAACAGACATACCCACACACGCGTGCATGCATAAACACTGTTCACACGTCATGGGAACAGTTTACCAAACACACATATGCACACACGCGTGCACGCATAAATACATATACAAATCTTTTTCTAAACCATGTTCTGATGTTATTCCCCCAACATGCCATCCCCCTGCATAGTTCCTCTCCATTTTTCTATCCAGTAGACACTTTAAGCTAAGAGCCTTTCTCTTTATATGATTTAAGTACCTTAATCTAATTTGATCTCAATGAGATTTTCCCAAAACTTCAGTATTTTTTTAATACATCTTAGCTTTTCGCTAAGAAAAAGCCCCCCCCCCCCCCCCCCCCCCACTTTGTTCACTGAAATTCTAGAACTCTTTCAACCTCCCGTCCTTGTGAGCACTGGTATGAAATCTATTCACAACCTTCTTCTTCTGCGTTCACCCTCTTGTTGTGCTCTTGTGAGCACTGGTGTGAAATCTATTCACAACCTTCTTCTTCAGCGTTCACCCTCTTGTTGTGCTCTTGTGAGCACTGGTATGAAATCTATTCACAACCTTCTTCTTCTGCGTTCACCCTCTTGTTGTGCTCTTGTGAGCACTGGTATGAAATCTATTCACAACCTTCTTCTTCTGCGTTCACCCTCTTGTTGTGCTCTTGTGAGCACTGGTGTGAAATCTATTCACAACCTTCTTCTTCTGCGTTCACCCTCTTGTTGTGCTCTTGTGAGCACTGGTATGAAATCTATTCACAACCTTCTTCTTCTGCGTTCACCCTCTTGTTGTGCTCTTGTGAGCACTGGTATGAAATCTATTCACAACCTTCTTCTTCTGCGTTCACCCTCTTGTTGTGCTCTTGTGAGCACTGGTATGAAATCTATTTACAACCTACTTTTTCTGCGTCCACTCTCTTGTTGTGCTGTGTTTTATATCTATGATGAAATGTGAATGCCTTTCAAACCCAATAAAAAATGTCGCGCTAATTTCAGCAGTCACCGTTCACAACACACCTGTTATGGGGCAGTGGGTCTATTCTACCTCTCCATGGTGTCCCAGAACACACACTGGGAAATTCACAATGAAATATCTATAGCCTGTGGGGAAAATATAAGCTATGCACAAAAACCTAGCAACAAACAAAAATTTTCATTAGGAATCCTGGAATTGAATGGCAACAGTTGGAACCCAGTCAGTGAGTTAATTAAACATAATAACTGGATGGGAGATAAATGATAAATTATGATTCAGAATAACATATGATGACTCAACAAAGGCATGATGAGTTGTTTTGAATATGAGTTACAGACTTCTTACCATTTCTAAAACGGGACACCTTCTCCGCAACAGAGGGATACAATGGTGGGGCCTCTGCAACTTTCTGTCGTCTCTCCAAGACTTTACTGGCTCTGTGTACGGCGTTAAAATTACGAAAAGGTTTGGCTAACGCTGAACCAATCTGTCCCATTGCTAGTTTTATTTATGTGTTATAGTTCTGAAAAATCAGTTTCTAGTGCTATACTTCGAAATTCTTTAGGAGTAAACGAGAAGAAATGTCATTCCCAAAGTCATGGATAACTACCCAGTTTGATTTAACAGTGATCTCCCTTGTTTCGAAGGGAGAGAATAGACTACGTTCTACTGGGATTTTCACTGGGAGAAAGGGGGAAAGGGGGGGGGGGGGGGGTGTTGCCTTGTTGACCATGTTCTTAGTGCAATTGTTTCAAGAGCGAGGTGCACACGCCGTCTGGAGGTGACCGGTTCAAATTCCGGTACATTAACTAGCTTTCAATGTTTATGTTGTCTAGTGTAATCTTTCTACTTCTTTCTATGAGTGCCGAGCAGTACATTGTCTGTTACTTTATATTAAAAATCATTCCGTCCTCATTACGACGATTTTTTGTTGTTCTTTGAAGCCCCACCCTGGCTTTTGCCAGGGGCCGCACTATAGGCAGGCCATAAATATGGCCAATTGTCTGAACGCGGTTTCTGGGACCTCTCCACAGTGATCCTCACCCACATGGTGGCACTTTGTGTCATCGGGTGTTTGTCGCTTGTGTGATGTCCTGGTGGGGTGGAAAGTCAGTCAGTCAGTCTGTTACTTTATTGATGTACTTCGTTTCACACACGCAGTTGGCCGTGGTTTAACCCAGTGGTAGTAAGAGTGGGGTATTGAGGAAAGCGCTCAGATCCATTATTAAACAATTTCTGGAGGGGAGCCTCAAGGAGTCTTCTTCTTCTTTTTCTTGTCTCTACTTCTGGAACGCCTCGCGGCGTCAGGGGAGAAATAGATCTCTATAACGGACCCTTCTGGTTCGTTTCGTGTATAGTACTTTTCAGTGTCTGACATTTTTGCGGTCCATTTTCGGCGTGTAGACCTATGGGTCTTTTACAACTGTATCTGCATAACATTCCGCTCTGTAGTGCCCTGTCTGCTGCCAATCTTGTTACATGGCCAAATCATTTGATTCTAAACCGCATTTTCTGGCGCCCCTGGGCTATGTCAATAATTATTTGAAATTACAAACAGGTTTTAGTTCATAACTTGCTGGTGATAGCCCGATGTGGAGTAACATGATCTCTCACGCCAGTCAGTAATCCACTTGAAGATGATCTGTTTCAAGTTTACACCCAGGACAGCGAAAAAACGAGAATCAGTATATTCTTTATTTTCTCGTTTACCGGCCGTGGACTCCAAATTCTAGAAGAAAGTTGTGGTTCTTCTTTTACTTTTATAATTTCATCTTATTCCTGACCGTGAGTTTGTGAACATACATCCGTGTTTCAGATCTTACTTATCTGAGTGCAGACTGCTGGTTCATCGCCTCTTAAGCAGTTGCACCCCGACTTTAAAGAAAATAGCAAGCTTATCTACATTAATCAGTACATCGGCTGAAAACAATTTTCTTGGATTACTGTGAAGAGGTTTGGCTGACGTCAACATCACCAGAACTACTCAACGAACGATAAACAACCGGTGACACTCAGTGCCGTCATTCGGGCGAGAACGACCCGCGTACAAGTCCCAGAAACCCCATTCAATCGATAGAATATATTAGGGCTCCAGACTACAACCGGGGTGTACCTTTAAAATAACTAAAATTACATCCCATACTGGGTAGAGGTTAAAGAGGTTTGAACAAGTCCTGACCAAATTGAGCTTTCATTATTGTCGTCCCCATGTGGGATGCAATATTTGTTATTTGAAGCACCACCCTGGCTTCTGCAGGGATCCTGAATTTAGCCGGGGCATAGATATGGCCTAACCATAGATATGGCCTAACGGCTAAAAGGGGTCTCTGTGACCTCTCCACGGGTGATTCTCATCCGCATGGTGTTACTTTATGTCACCGGGTGTTTATCGCTTGTGTAAAGTCCTGGTGGGGTACAACTGCCTGCCTGCCATGAGCTCTAGGACATCATCAAATGTGGTTCAGAAATAAACCCACTGTCTCGCCAACAAGCATCTGGAGTTTTCTACGAAGTCAGTGGGTATCTGCACGAGACGCAAGGAACCAACAGTCTGCATACAAAAAATCAGATCTTTAAAACGTATGTGCACCCAAATCTCAGGTTCTGAAACAAGTCTAAAGTTCAGAGGCGGATAAACAACTAGAATTTTCTGCCGGAGTTTACGGCCGATGAACGCGGAAGAGAGAGGATACGTATGTTTGCCCTCAGTATTGCCGTTATTCAGAAACTCTCTGTGACGTCATCGTACATTTATCTCACAAGTACCGTGGTCATATCGATCTCAAAACCCAGGCACATTTTATATGCTTCTGTTTACCCAAAGTCGAGAAAAGGGAGAACATAAAACTCTGCTGATAACGGTTTTCTCGACACAAATCGAAATGACACATTCTTTTTAACAATCCTAAGCTTTAAGAGAAGTAATGATTTTTATTTACTTACCAGTTACATCTTTTGTTTTTCAAAGTAGACAATCGTGATCATGTTTATGAAGAAGCTCAAACACGAACTCGTACTGGTTGGGATAAAAAAAAAATGCTGCTCCTGTAGGGGATTGAACCCAGACCTGTGTCATGGCAGGAAGGCACAGTAAGTTATAGAGAAATATATAAGAAAGTACCGGAGGTCAATGCATTGGACATGGGGCTAAAAATGAGAGAGCTAACAATTAGCATGACAAGGTATGGCAAACGAGCAGCTGGATGTACCAGTCACATACCACCAAACGAAAAGGACTATTACATCAGACAGAAAAACCACAAATGCTGGCATAAGACAAATACCTTAATATGGACAGATCAGAAGAAGTCATTCTGATGTAAAATTTCCATTATCAGCGAATGTGGCAGATGCTTGGATGTTATAATATCTCATACACTTGCTCCGATACTCCCCCCTCCCCCCCACCTTCCAGGATTGAGATCTGTAGAATTAACATCTCAAGTTGTTCTTTTTCTGCCTCTGGCTCTGAAAGTCGCAGGTTCGACATTTGGACGTCTTCTTTCTGTTTGCGAATTATTGTTTCGGAGATCTCTGGGAATCATTGCGGAGTTGGATAAGGCCATGTGAACGGGGTCGTGCATAGGCATGTACACTAAAGCACAACTCATCCACACAGACAACTCCTCGCACACACACAGGCAAGCGCGCGCACACACATGCACAGCCACAATACTGATCGAACACTCGCATAGACACAACACTTACAGATATATCACTTAAAAAGACGAACAAGAGGAAGCTAGGCACATAACATGTACAAATGACTATGTAAAAGCATCTAACACACACACACACACACACACACACACACACACACACACACACATATACACACAATCATCCATAACACAATTTGAATGTTGAATTAAAATCGACGTCACAGCACTCAGGACACTTTCATAGGTGCTCCACCCCCATCTTCAACAGCAAGCGAAAAGTTCTAATTACGATGGCATCAGTATCTGTCTGATTGTATATCCGTCTCGCCCTTCCCCTGCGTCTGGAGCGTCTGCCAGATCCCCTTGTAACTCCTTGCAGTGCCATTCTCCTCAGACCATAATGATATATCTGTGCCTCCGCACTGTTTACTCACTCCCAAAGGACCCTCCCAATATCTAGCTTTTCATAATCAATTTGCCACCAAGTGGTGCAGATCCGGTCCGTCTATCTGCCTGCTCATTTCCCAACACACCGGTATGAACTAGAGAAAGTATCCAAAGGACGCTAACTGCCCGGCACCTCTAAATTAATGCTTGCCACTCTGCACAGAGCATACAGTTTAAACAAAGCAACACACCTGCCTAACAAAACACAGTCATTGAAATGTAAAGACAAAAGACTCATGACAAACGCTGAGTAGTTAAAACAAACAATATGCAGGCATTCAACAGGCAGTAATGAATTTTTCAGCAGCTCATTCTTAACCAAACTGCGACAGAGCAAACACAGACAGCGGCATAAAACATAAATCTAATGTCACTTCACTGCACAAGTGGACTAGCGCTGTAAAGGTTAGCTAAAAATCAATGAAATGGCACTCTGATTAACTAGTGAACTGAGTATTGTAGAAGCTTTCAGCTCGATAAGGCTAATGACACAGTCATCAGTGTTTTAGCGTCACATCCCAGCCATCAAAGTTTTAGTGCGAGGTCTCAGTTATCAGTATTATAGAGCAAGATTTCCCTCATCAATGTTTTCGTGCAATATTTCATTCTTCAATGTTTAATTAGTCTCATCCATCAATATTTCAGTGCAAGCATTCATTCATTAGTCTTCTAGTGCAAGGTCTCAGACAACAAAATTTTAGTTTAACGTCTAAGTTATCAATGTTTTAGTGCAAGGTTTCAAACATCATTGTTTTAGTGCAAGGTTTCAGACATGATTGTTTTAGTGAAGGTTTCAAATATCAGTGTTTTAGTGCAAGGTTTCAAACATCAATATTTTAGTGCAAGGTTTCAAACATCAATTTTTTAGTGCAAGGTTTTAAACATCAATGTTTTAGTGCAAGGTTTTAAACATCAATGTTTTGGTGCAAGGTTTCAAACAATACAGTTTTAGATCAAGGTTTCGAACATCATTGTTTTAGTGCAAGGTTTCAAACATCAATATTTAAGTGCAAGGTTTCAAACATTAATGTTTCATTGCAAGGTTTCGAACATCATTGTTTTAGTGCAAGGTTTCAAACATCATTGTTTTAATGTAAGGTTTCAAACATCATTGTTTTAGTGCAAGGTTTCAAAAATCAATGTTTTAGTGCAAGGTTTCAAACATCAATGTTTTAGTGCAAGGTTTCAAACATCAATATTTTAGTGCAAGGTTTCAAACATCAATGTTTTAGTGTAAGGTTTCAAACATCACAGTTTTAGTGTAAGGTTTCAAACATCATTGTTTTAGTGCAAGGTTTCTAACATTATTGTTTTAGTGCAAGGTTTCAAATATCAATGTTTTAGTGCAAGGTTTCAAACATCAATGTTTTAGTGTAAGGTTTCAAAC